TGTGCCGTCAATAAACCCAATGCAGGTCTTCAGAGGCGCCCCTTGCATGTAAATAGCATCACCGCAGCGCTGCATCCATTGGCTGTCGAGTCGCTGATAGTCCCAGTCGAGGAGGTGGCCGAATCGCCCATACACATGTAGCATTGCCGCGTTTGAAAGTGCAGACAACGCCTCTCGGCTGCGCAACCATGGACCAAGACGATGAGGCCACGCCAGACGATTGAGCATGATGCAAACGACCTCGATAGCAGTCGCGTGGTAGCGGGCCTTGGTGATGAAGGGATCGGGGAACCCAAGAATACGTGCGAGTTCGGGGATATCGGTCTTACCGAAACCGCAACATGAATCGGCAGTCCGCTTCGGTCTGGGAGTTGAAGTTGAACCGTACAGCAGGGATGGTGATGGCGCGTGTGGAGTTCATATACTCCACGAGCTCAGCTACCAGTGGCAACACTGGTAGGATGTGTTTCATGAAGAGTATGATGCAAAGTGTGAAAATTTGTGACAGCAAATGCTCATGACCAATGAAAAAACCCAATTAAATTTACTTGTAAACTGTAAGGGGAAAATCATGTGGATTCTGGGTGCAAAATCACTCTAATAGCTGAAATAATGCTTTAGACACACCGATTATATTGTGTTTTGCAGTCGTATTGGATGAGAAAAACACCAAAAACCAAGCAAATTTGATACCATTTTGAGAATCAATTTAAGACACATGTTGGTATCTCGATCAAAGTATGATCATTTGCTTACAAATGTTGTTCTTAGGGTATATTATTATAGAGGGACATCAATCCTTTTGCACGGGTTATAAATTCGCAAAGACCTTTCCAATATGCATTCTCCCCTTTCCGGATAGACATGACGAGGATATTTTTTTGCAAAGGTTTGCTTAAAATAATTTTGCGCCGTTTGATTGGTTCTGGAACATAGTAAATTGAGTCATGTGTCGTAACTGTAAATTCATTTTTTACGTTACAATCCACTCAATGTCTTTTCGTCTATGGTACCGGTATTGCCCTTTTACGCCAAATTTGGACTATTGTGCTGAATCGCCAAATCCATCAATCGATTCGTTGTAAGTTACTGAATTTTGTATGTAAAAAGTTGTCCTGTGGTGATTGGTATCACGCTAATTGACAGTGAATTTACTGTCAAACACTAATTTCAAGTTGATGATGGCTTCCTACTACACTGCGCGCCAAAAATGAGAGAACACTTACATTTTTTGTGATATCTCATCAACCAATGGGAGTTAAGCGATGCTATTTTGATATGATGTGTGGACGAATATTCTCGAAAAGTGATTATGGCTATCGAACTGGAATTCGCTTGAATTCGATGACCTCACATACAATTCAAAAATAATGGACGGCGACAAAATTAAGGAACAAAAATACATACAAAAACTAATATAAAGAATGACGGTATATTGAAGAATGTTTGTAATCAGTTTAGTCCTGTCAATTTCACTTCACTTTTGTATACGA